TGGGATTACAGGCGTCCACCACTGCCCCTGGCTAATTTTTTGTGTGTATTTTTAATAGAGACAGGGTTTCATTATGTTGGCCAGGCTGGTCTCAAACTTCTGACCTCATGATCTGCCCACCTTGGCCTCCCAAAATGCTGGGATTACATAGGTGAGCTACTGTGCCCGGCCTCTAATCTTTATTATTATTTTTATTTATTTATTTATTTTTAGTAGAGACAGGGTTTCACCATGTTAGCCAGGATGGTCTTCATCTCCTGACCTCGTGATCTGCCCATTCCGGCCTCCCAAAGTGCTGGGATTACAGGCGTGAGCCACCGCACCTGGTCTATTTTATTTGATTTTTTTAGATGGAGTCTTGCTCTGTCTCCCAGGCCGGAGTGCACTGGTGTGATCACAGCTCACTGCAATCTCTGCCTCCCAGGTTCAAGTAATTATCCTGTCTCAGCCTCCCAAGTAGCTGGAATTGCAGCGCACCACCATGCCTGGCTAATTTTTGTATTTTTAGTAGAGATGGGGTTTCACCATGTTGGCCAGGCTGATCTTGAACTCCTGACCTTGTGATTTGCCTCCCTCAGCCTTCCAAAGTGCTGGAATTACAGGTGGCATTAGCCACGGCACCTGGCCTGGACTCTAATCTTCGAAGTGAAAGGTCTCCGTTAGAGGTTTTGTTTTGTTTTTTGTTTAAACTACTAGGTAGTTTTTAACAAGGCAGGGATTTTTCTCGCCTGTCTTGTTCAACACTGAATCCCTAGTAGCTAGAAGAGTGGTGCCTGGCACACAGTAGATGCACAATAACTATTAGTTGAGGGCCGGGTGTGGTGGCTCACACCTGTATTCCAAGCACTTTGGAGGCCAAGGCGGGCTGATCACCTGAGGTCGGGAGGTCAAGACCAGCCTGACCAACATGGTGAAACCCCGTCTTAAAAAAAAAACAAAAAACTGTTAGTTGAAGAGAAGTTGGAATGAATGAATTCATGGAGTGACATGATAAAATAAGAAAGCTAATCCCCAAGAGGCAGAGAGCATGAATTAAAATGGTAAAGGCTGGCAGCAAGGAAACAAGTAATAGACGTTAGGGCACCTCCAGGCATGAAGTGATGAGGGGCTGAACTGGGATAATGGCCACTGGACTGGAAAGAAAGGGAGTGGTGGTGAGAGTCACTGGGAAACAACTGGTAGCCCTTGGTCACTGACCAACTGGACATAGGAGACAAAGGAGAGAAAATAATCAAAGATAACATCAAAGAAAATTCCTCATTCTTCAAGACTTAGCCTGTGTTAGGCTTTCACGAAGCCTTCCCAGGTTTCTGAAGCCTGTGCTGTGTTCCCTTTCTGCTCAGTGCAGATCATCTGTGTCCCCCTGTTGCAGGATGTCGTAATGTACTGTCTTGCATTACAACTCAGACTTTGCATGTGTTTGTTTCTCCTGAGAGATTGCAAGCTTTTAAAGGTCAGGGATACCTCTAATTCCACAGTGCCCAGCCCTAAGAGTGCCGCAAAGTAGATGCTTAATAAGTACTCGCTGATTTAGAACAAGTTTGTCCAATCACACTGTCCTGGGTCATGTCTGGGGCCCAGGACAGCTTTGAATGTGGCCCAACACAAATTCGTAAACTTTCTGAAAACATTGAGATTCTTTTGCAGTTTTTTTTTTTTAAGCTCATCATCTATCATTAGTGTTAGTGTATTTTATGTGTGGCCCAAGACAATTCTTCTTCCAGTGTGGCCCAGGGAAGCCAAAAGGTTGAACACTCCTGATTTAGAAGAAACCTGTATTTTTTTCCATCATAAAGAGGCACTTTGTTTTGGTTTTTTGTTTTTCATTTTTAATTGTTTTCATTTTCTTTTTTTTTAAGATGGGGTTTCTCCATGTTGGTCAGGCTGGTCTTGAACTCCCGACCTCTGGTGATCCTCCCACCTCGGCCTCCCAAAGTGCTGGGATTACAGGAGTGAGCTACCGTGCCCAGCTTCATTTTCTTTCTTAGTTGGTCCTAGAGAATGAGGAAGAGACATATTCTGGTACCAATATCCCCCTTATGGAAGAGTCAAATGCCAGCTATTATCATTGCCATCAGTAATAAATGATCTCATTCATTCATTCATTCACTTGTTCGTATATTCAGTCATTCAACAATAGGGGAATAGTGTAGCATAGAGTTTAAGGAGTTAGCAAGGGCTTTGGATCTTGCTCATAATCTTAGATGTGTTACTTATTGGCCTGCTGGTTTGGAAAAGTTATTTAAGCTCTCTAAGTCTTAATTTTCTCATCTATAAAACCAAAATAATAACGCCTATCTAATAAGAACATTTATCAAGTGCTTACAGGCACTGTCATTTAATCCCCATCTTACAGTTGAGGGGATTGAGACACAGTATGTCGCTTGTCCAAGGAGGCACAGGTAAAAAGTGTTGAACCAGTTCTAGGTCACAGGTGATCCGATCCTGGAGCCCTTGTGCTAAGTGCCGTGCTTGACAGTCTCATGGGTGTGGCAGGGGCCAGCACAAAGCCATATGAGGGGATCCTGTGTGGCACATTCGGCACATAGCACGCGCTAAATATGTTAATAATTGTCAATAAATCTTTTTTGGCCGGGTGCGGCGGCTCACACCTGTAATCCCAGCACTTTGGGAGGCTGAGGTGGGCATATTACCTGAGGTCAGGAATTCAAGACCAGTCTGGCCAACATGGTGAAACCCCATCTCTACTAAAAATACAAAAATTAGCTGGGTGTGGTGGCGTGCACCTGTAATCCCAGCTACTTAAGAGGCTGAGGCAGGAGAATAACTTGAACCTGCCTCAGGGAGGTGAGGTTGCAGTGAGCCGAGAGCACGCCACTGTACTAAAATATTTTTTAGCATTCAGTGTCAGAGAAGATACAGGGCATGGTTTTGAGGAAAAGATACACAGACTCTGCCCTCAAGCTGCCTCCAGTTCAGTAGTGCCACCAGACACTTGCGTAAACCAAAAATAAAATCCTGGCCGGGCGCGGTGGCTCACGCCTATAATCCCAGCACTTTGGGAGGCCCAGGCGGGTGGATCGCAAGGTCAAGAGATCGAGACCATCCTGGTCAATAAGGTGAAACCCCGTCTCTACTAAAAATACAAAAATTAGCTGGGCATGGTGGTGCGCGCCTGTAGTCCCAGCTTCTTGGGCGGCTGAGGCAGGAGAATTGCTTGAACTCAGAAGGTGGAGGTTGCGGTGAGCCGAGATCGTGCCATTGCACTCCAGGCTGGGTAACAACAGCGAAACTCCGTCTCAAAAAAAAAAAAAAAAAAAAAAAAAAGCATCTCTCCCAACTCCCTCATTTGACAGATGAGGAAACTGAGGCCCAATGGTGGGAGTGGAAGAGTGAATTAGTTTAGGTTGAAATTTGGACAAAAATCTAGATCTACAAAAAACGGCAGAGAGATGGTCCCTCTCCGAGGCCTGTGTGCACTTAGAAAGTAGTTTCCCTTGGAAGCAGAAGCAGGGTGGGGAAGGGCTGGGTCAGGGGAGTGGCTGATGGGGGAGCTCAGCCTTCAGCTGGATCCTCTGGGCTCCCCTGGGCTCACTTAGCTCACTAGAGTACACAGTTCTTTTGCATCTTGTGTATTTCTAAGTTTCCAGTGGTGATTTCCTCTCCCTTCCCTGTCTTTTAATAAGGGTGTGGGGAAGTGAGGAGGTTCTATTCTTACCTACTTCTCTAAGGACTGTTGCAAGTCCTTAGCTGAAGAACCCAATCTCTCTGATCATAGGTGGGCTCTTTCTAAACAAAACAAAACGAGAAACCAGAAGTAGGGGATGGACTAAGGTCCCTTTTAGCTCTAAAATTCCATGGGTCTTCAGAGGGGAAGACAATGCTTTCAGAGCATGTTTAGCTGGTCAACGTGAAAACGAGGATTTTTTTTTTTTTTTCATTTGCAAAGTGGAGGTACTCCTGCACGCAGGATGCAGCCACTAGAGGGCAGCATATCTTCAAGCACCTGGGCAGGTGGCCGCCGCGGGGCCCCGCAGACAAGCAAGCTGTCTCCTCAGACCTGCCTGGGTCTCTGTAGTTTTCATGTTGTAAATCCCAAACTCAGTTCTTTAGCAAAGGGCAGCCAGCCACGTTAGGGTAAGATGAGGGAGCAATTTTGCAAATTAGTTCTAGCACTAGAAGGATTGAAAAAAGGCCTAAAAAGATATTGGATTCTAGGAAATCAAATATTTTATGAAAAATTGAAAATGCGTCGCTGTCCTGGTTTAGTCTGCCTTACAGCTCACGTCATCCGGCAGAGTTTTGAGAAGAACTGGAGCATTTTAGGCCAGCCCGGTGGCTCACGCCTGTAATCCCAGCACTTTGGGAGGCCGAGGCAGGCGGATCACTTGAGGTCAGGAGTTCGAGACCAGCCTGGGCAACATGGCAAAACCCCGTCTCTACTGTAAGTAGAAAAAAATTAGCCGGGCATGGTGGTGCTGTAGTCCCAGCTACTTACGGGCCTGAGGTGGGAGAATCAGTGGCGGGGCTGACGTGGGAGGATCGGTTGAGCCCAGGAGGTGGAGGCTGCAGTGAGCTGACATCATGCCACAGCACTACAGCCTGAGTGACAAAGTGAGACCCTGTCTCAAAACAAACAAACAAAGAACTGGGAGCATTTTAAGGCTGATAAAATTTTTGTTAGACTGAAAGGTGATTGAAAAAAACCTTATTTATAAAGCCCGTGTGTTAGACCAGATTTTTTTTTTTTTTTTTTTTTTGAGACGGAGTTTCGCTCTTGTTACCCAGGCTGGAGTGCAATGGCGTGATCTTGGCTCACCGCAACCTCCACCTCCTGGGTTCAGGCAATTCTCCTGCCTCAGCCTCCTGAATAGCCGGGATTACAGGCACGCGCCACCATGCCCAGCTAATTTTTTGTATTTTTAGTAGAGATGGGGTTTCACCATGTTGACCAGGATGGTCTTGATCTGCTGACCTCGTGATCCACCCGCCTCGGCCTCCCAAAGTGCTGGGATTACAGGCGTGAGCCACCGCGCCCGGCCTAGACCAGATTTTTGTAGAGTTCCTTGAGAAGTTTCAGTTCATTTTGCTCATGTTTATTTATTTATTTATTTTCAAGACAGAGTCTCTCTCTGTCGCCCAGGCTGGAGTGCAGCGGTGCAATCTCAGCTCGCTACAACCTCCGCCTCCCAGGTTCAAGTGATTCTTCTGCCTCAGCCTCCTGAGTAGCTGGGACTACAGGTGTGCGCCACCACACCCAGCTAATTTTTGTATTTTTGTAGAGACAAGATTTCACCATGTTGGTCAGGCTGGTCTTGAACTCCTGACCTCAGGTGATCTGCCCACCTCGGTCTCCCAAAGTGTAGGGATTACAGGCATGAGCCACTGCACCCAGCCTGCTCATGTTTAATAAGCCCTTAGGAAGAATTGGTTCTGGACGCTTCCAGAAAGTCCACCAAAGCACACACTAATTTTTTTTTTCTGGAGAGGATGAAATAACCAGAATTATTACATATACACTGAATAAAAGAGCATCATCCTGGGCACCTTAAGGGAATTAAAAGAATGACTGGCTGGGCTTGGTGGCTCACACCTGTAATCCCAGCACTTTTGGAGGCTGAGGCAGGCAGATCACTTGAGGTCAGGAGTTCAAGGGCAGCCTGGCCAAAATGACAAAACCTTAAGTAGCCAGGTGTGGTGGTACATGCCTGTAATTCCAGGTACTCAGGAGGCCGAGGCAGGAGAATCACTTGAACCTGGGAGGCAGACAGAGCCACTGTACTCCAGCCTGAGCGACAGAGGAGACCCTGTCTCAAAAAAAAAAAAAAAGGAAGGACAGGAAGTTCAGTGAGAGTGGCAAGGAGGGCTGGGTGCTGGCATGGCTAATCCTACCATGATGAGGTTTGGTGGCCCCTTCACCTCTCTGAGCCCTGGTTCCCTCCTCTGTCAAATGGCAGTTTCTTCAGAGCTCTAATCAGTAAGAATCGCATTTCTTTTTTTTTTTTTTTTTTTTGAGGGAAAAAGAGAAAAAGAAGGGGAAAAAAGAAAAAGAGGGAAAAAGGAATATTACTTCATTTCTAAAATGGGTTTCAATAATGGCCGATCAATATTTTGAGTGTTTAAAGTGGTTAATGCATATTTTATGTGTTTAAAATGGAGACCTCTATTGTGTTTATTTGTTCTGGCTCTGAGTTCAAGTCCTGGATATCGTTATCAATTTGTTGTCTCGTTGAATCTAAATCTCATTATGTGTCTTATGTATCTGGGTGTTAAGATCTCTTATTGTTACATTAATCCTTTTACCCTTGCATCCTTGTAGCTTTGAAATCTATTTTATTAAGTGTGAGAATTGCAACTCCTGCTTTTTATTTATTTATTTTTGCTCTCCATTTGGTTGGTGAGTTTTTTTCCATCCCCTTGTTTTGAGTCTTTGTATATCTTTAGATATATTGTTAGATTTTGTGGATAATGTATATTTTGTGTGTTTAAAATGGAGAGCTCTATTGAGTTTATTTGTTCTGGATCTTAGTTCCAGTCCCGGATATCGTTATCAATTTTCTGTCTTGTTGAATCTAAATCTCATTATGGGTCTTATGTATCTGGGTGTTAAGATCTCTTATTATTACATTAATCCTTTTACCCTTATATCCTTGTAGCTTTGAAATCTATTTTGTCAAATGTGAAAATTGCAACTCCTGCTTCTTATTTATTTTTGCTCTCCATTTGGTTGGTATGTTTTGTTTTTTTTTTTCCAACCCTTTATTTTGAGTCTATGTATATCTTTGGATATACCGTTAGATTTTGTCTGTATCTTTTGATTGGGAGATTTGGTCAATTTAAATTTAGGGTTGCTGCCATTTGATATTAACTGGCTATTTTGTCCTTTCGTTGATGAAAATTCTTCTTTATGTTAATGCTCTTTACTTTTTGGTGTATTTTTAGAAAGTGTCATATTGGTTGTTCCTTTCTGTGTATAATGCTTCTTTTAGAAGTTCTTGTAAAGCAGGCCTGGTGGTAATAAAATCTCTGAGTACTTGCTTGTTCCTAAAATATTTTATTTTTCCTTCAAATGTAAAACTTAAATTGGCAGGATATGAAATTCTGGGCTGAAAGTTCTGTTGATTAAGTATATTGAATATTGGCCCCCACTCTCTTCTAGCTTGTAGGGTTTCCGCTGATAGATCTGCTGTAAGCCTAACAGGCTTACCTTTATGGGTAACTTGATCTTTCTCTCTGACTGCCCTTAATATTTTCTCCTTCGTTTCGATCTTGGTGAATCTAACGATTATGTGCCTTGGGGTTGGTCTTCTTGAGGAATATCTTTGTGGTGTTCTCTGTATTGCCTGGGGTTGAATAGTGTCCTCCTTTGCTAAATTAGTAAAATTTTCCTGGATAATGTCCTGGAGAGTATTTTCCAGCTTGACTTCATTCTCTCCATCACATTCAGGTACACCAATCAAGTGTATATTAGGTCTTTTCACATAGTCCCATATTGCTTGGAGACGTTGCTCATTCCTTTTTATCCTTTTTTCTCTATTCTTGTCTTGTCGTTTTGTTTCATTAAGTTGGTCTTCGACCTCTGATATCCTTTCTTCTGCTTGATCCATGTTTAAGCTTGTACATATTTCACTAAGTTCTCATGTTGTATTTTTCAACTCCATAAGTTCATTTGTATTCCTCTCTATATTGTCTATTCTTTTCAACATTTCATCGAACCTTTTTTCCAAGTTCTTAGTTTCTTTACATTGGGTTAGAACAAGTTCCTTTAACTCCCAGAAGTTTCTTATCATCCACCTTTTAAAGCCTACTTCAGATAATGGAACACAGTCCTTTTCCATCAGGGCTTGCTCCGTTACTGATGAGTCCTTTTCCATCAGGGCTTGTTCGGTTGCTGATGAGTCCTTTTCCATCAGGGCTTGTTCCGTTGCTGATGGGTTCTGATTTTGAGTATACTCAGCCTTCTTAGGCTGTTTTTTTCCCTTCATTGTAGGTGAACCGCCTTTCTAATTAGGTTTCTGAGTCGACATCCGACTTACTGATTCCCAGTGCTGGGATCCGAGCAACCCACTGTGGCAGCCTAAATAGCAGCGGTAAGACTGATGGTGCTCTTCTGCCCGGGAATCTCTGGTCTGGCTTCCCTCTTGAGTCCGCAACAAGCGGCTCTGACTTCCCGGAGCTCCAAACTCCGGTCAGTAGGGGAAGCGGTCCCATTGGCTCTGCATGAAGAGCTGCTGAGCCCAGACGCCGGCAAAACCACTAGGCGGCCACAAGAGTCGCGCTGGCGACCCGTGGGGCTCCTCCACTGGGAATCGGCTAATCGGTGAGTGACGAAAATTCGTCTAAAGATGTGGCATCGTCTCGTTCTCTGAGCTTTCACTGGGAGCTACAATCCTGAGCTGTTAGTGGTCGGCCATCTTGAATCCAAGAATCGCATTTCAAATCAACACAGCTTCCCAAAAGATTCCAGATGAACTGTCCAATGGTCTTTCCAAAGATAAAAGGCCTGGATCCCTTGAGAAGGCAGTTCTCACTAGTAGATTAGAATCTCGCAGAAGACCTAGAACACTCATGGAGCAAAGACTTAAGGATATCATCTTTAGAGAAATAACGTTGCTTACTCAGCAGCAATAGGGCTAGACCTTGTTTTTGCCTTCTCTCTCCCTGGGCCGCGGACGTGCGATGGTTGGGATTAAGCTGGCCGCGGCTTTACTCGTTGTACCTCATTTCTGGCCCTCTGCTACCTTGCCAGTTGTTTTGAGACGCACCATGTCCTCCTTCACCTCTCTGCCTTTGGATGTGTGGTTCCTTCTGCCTGAAATTCTTTTCCCTGCCTTATCCTTCTGAGAAGCTCCTAGTCATCCTTCAAAACCCCCCTCAAATGACATCTGTTTGGTGAAGTCTTCTCTGACTCCCCAGAGAATCCCAAGGCAGAGTTACTGATTCCTCACCAGGGCTTCCACAGCAGCTGGCACAAAACTCATCACAGTGTACAGTACGCGTTTGTTTTCATGTCTGCCCTGCCCCCAGGCCTGAGAATCCCTAAGGGAAGAGGTTGATTATTCATCCTCGGTCTGCAGCCCTGGCTCAGTGCCTGGCAGGTAGTAGGGACTCAGTCAGTGCTGGCAGACCTGAAGCAAGTTCTCCTTTCTGTAACCAGCGGAGTGTTTTTCCAGATGGCTGAGCAGGATCAATGAAGGAAAGACAGTCACTCCCTGAGGCAGCCCTGGGGCACTTGCCTGGCATCGGGAGCTCAATGCAGAGTACGGAATGCTAACATTTAATGTTTGTGCACTGGAGGGCAAATGTCATTCAAAACTGGATGGAGGCTGTTTAGAATCTATTTTAATCCCAGAAGATGACATGTAAAGAGAAATTTTCTAATAGTGTGATGAAGCTCTGGGACGTGAGTTAAACAGGTGGTGGGTGTCACACATCGAAGGTCTTCTGTTTTGAGGCAGAGTTTCACTCTTGTTGCCCAGGCTGGAGTGCAACGGTGGGATCTTGGCTCACTGCAACCTCAGTCTCTTAGGTTAAGTGATTCTCCTGCCTCAGCCTCTTGAGTAGGTGGGATTACAGGCATGTGCCACCACACCTGGGCAATTTTGTATTTTTAGTAGAGACAGGGTTTCTCCATGTTGGTCAGGCTGGTCTTGAACTCCCGACCTCAGGTGATCTGCCTGCCTCAGCCTCCCAAAGTGCTGAGATCACAGGCGTGAGCCACCGCGTCTGGCCGAAAGTCTTTATAATCTCTGTTTTTTTTTGTTTTTTCCAGAAAAGACTGTCTGAAGTGAGTAGCTGAAATGTGAACAGATTAGCTCTGATTTTAAGGTCATATAATGGGATCGGTTAGGCCTCTTGCTCACTCTGGGGCTTTGGTAGCTTCAGGTGGAATGACCTGGCCCTCCATGAATGGGTGTTGAGGTTGGACACACGGCGGTCACTTCTCTGCACAGTTCCTCACAGCTTTGCCTCATCTGCAAACATCAGAGGGATCAGTACCCATAAGTACGTATGTGTTGTCAGTACACAGACTTTTCCAGAGCTGCAGTATCGGCCGGTGCTCTTTGCCTGCGCTTCTGTCTGGCTTTGACTCTTCCTCTCTGTCCCCTGGTCCCAAAGGCTCTTGGCGTGGATATGGGGAGAGCCAGCTGTATTGAAAGAGGACACATGACAAAAGAAGAAAGGTGAGGGTCACCTTCAGGGGGAAAGGTAAGTGGGTGTTGTGGTTGATTCCATTCTGTGCCGGCACTCCCTTGCAGGGCGTTTTTTGGAGGTGGAATTTTTTGACTTGTCCTTCCGTCAAAACAACCATGGGTCTGAGGAAAGAGGAGAGGATGGCACATGACTGGGACAGAAGTGATTGCTGAGGCTGGGAAATTGGCTGTCACTCACATATTTAAAAAGGCCAAAAGTTCAACATTAGGGTTAGTAGTGAAAATTTTTTGCAAGTTTAGCACCATTTCTTTGCTCTATATCTTAAATAGCCTCACCATTGTATTAAACATTTTTTATCATGGAAAAACATACATAACATAAAATTTACGGTTTTAGCCTTTTTTTTTTTTTTTTTTGAGACAGCGTTTCACTCTTGTTGCCCAGGCTGGAGTGCAGTGGCTCAATCTCAGCTCACCACAACCTCCACCTCCCAGGTTCAAGTGATTCTCCTGCCTCAGTCTCCTGAGTAGCTGAGACTACAGGCATGTGCCACCATGCCCGGCTAATTTTTGTATTTTTAGCAGAGATGGGGTTTCTCCATGTTGGTCAGGCTGGTCTCAAACTCCTGAACTCTGGTGATCTGCCCGCCTCGGCCTCCCAAAGTGCTGGGATTACAGGCATGAGCCACCACGCCTGGCCTATTTTAGTCACTTTTAAGCATACAGTTCTGTGGCATTAAGTATGTTCACATTGTTGTGTGACCATCACCACCATCCATTTCCAGAACGTTCTCATCTCCCCAACTGAAACTCTGAACCCCTTAAATAATAACTCTCCGTTGCCCACTCCTCCTTCCCCCGGCAACAGCCATTCTACTTTCTGTCTGTACAAATTTGGCTACTCTATGAACTTTGTATAAAAGGAATCATACAGTATTTCGATATTTGTTCTTCCATGACTTATTTCATTTAGTGTAATGTCCTCAAGGTTCATCCATGTTGTAGCCTGTGTCTCCCTGATTTTGTTTGTTTGGGTTTTTTTTTTCTTTCTGTCACCCTGGCTGAAGTGCAGTGGTGTGATCTCGGGTCACTGCAACCACCGTCTCCCAGGTTCAAGTGATCCTCCCACCTCAGCCTCCAAAATAATTGGGATTACAGGCACCTGACATTATGCCCAGTCAATTCTTATTTTTTTTGAGACGGAGTTTCACTGTTACCCAGGCTGGAGTGCAATGGTGCGATCTCGGCTCACCGCAACCTCCGCCTCCTGGGTTCAAGCAATTCTCCTGCTTCAGCCTCCCGAGTAGCTGGGACTACAGGCGCGCACCACCATGCCAAGCTAATTTTTGTATTTTTAATAGAGATGGGGTTTCACCTTGTTGACCAGGATGGTCTCGATCCCTTGACCTTGTGATCCACCCGCCTCGGCCTCCCAGAGTGCTGGGATTACAGGCATGAGCCACTGTGCCCGGCCTGTCTCACTGTTTTTTAATTAAACAATTTTGATAAGTGTGTCCTGCAAAATTATTTCATGAACTGTCTCCATCTGTAGTTTTATAGTCGGAGGGGCCAAACTGAAGGGAAGGGGAGGGGCCAAACTGAAGAGAAGGGGAGGGGCCAAACTGAAGGCAAGTGCATTGAACACAGTTGGCTGCTGTCCAAATCCATCCTCCCCTGTCCGCCTCGCTGCCACCCTTCTTGACCCCTGGTTTTGTTCTGGTACTTACTGGCAAGCTCCTCACATTGGAACAGGGCTGCTCTTAGACCCAGGAAGTAAGTCTTTATTCATTTAAGCCAATCATGGTATTTTGGTTTCTTTGCCAATGGCTGGTTTCAAGGATTATCATGTGATATACTCTTGTCTCATGAGACATGAGAGAAAGCTGATGCAAGGCTGCTGGAAAGGGTTTCCTGCTTTTCCAACAGACGAGGTGAAATTTCCTATTTTCTGCTTCTCAGTATTGTGGACACGTGCGTCGGTGATGCGTGGAGTTTAGCAGCCATCTTGTCACCATGAGAGGAGTTGGCCAAATGGCCCAGATGATACATCAAAGATGTCAGAGGGGAGAAATGAAAAGGAATCTGGATCTTCTTTTTTTTTTTTTTTGAGACGGAGTTTCACCGTTGTTACCCAGACTGGAGTGCAATGGCACGATCTTGGCTCACTGCAACCTCCGCCTTCTGGGTTCAAGCAATTCTCCTGCCTCAGCCTCCCGCGTAGCTGGGACTACAGGCGCGCACCACCATGCCCAGCTAATTTTTGTATGTTTAGTAGAGACGGGGTTTCACCTTGTTGATCAGGATGGTCTCGATCTCTTGACCTCGTGATCCAGCCGCCTCGGCCTCCCAAAGTGCTGGGATTATAGGCGTGAGCCACCGCGCCCAGCCGGAATGTGGATCTTCTATGCAAATGAGTCACTAAATTACCAAACTCTGGGGGTGAGGGTGGTGGCTCACACCTGTAACCCTAGCACTTTGGGAGGCCAAAACAGGTGGATTGCTTGTGTCCAGGTGTTCAAGACCAGCCTTGGCAACATAGCGAAACCCTGATCTCTACAAAAGATACAAAATTAGTGGGGCATGGTGGTATGTGCCTGTGATTCCAGCTACTGGGGAGGCTGAGGTGGGAGGATGCAAGCCAAGATCGCCCCACTCCGCTCCAGCCTGGGTGACAGAGAGAAACCTTGTCTCTGTCTCGGCGAGACTAAATAAATAAATAAATAACCAACTCTGGAACTCTCTACCTTTAATCTTGACACTTACGTGGGATCATACATTTCTTTGTCATTTAAACTTTTGAATATTCTGTACTTGTAGCCAAAAGCATTCTAATGACTTATTAAAGATGAAAGCTAAACAGGAGTCAAAGTCGAGGATCAGGACTCCCACAGTTTCCCATTGGATGATGCTAACACTGCAGAAACATCATTGGTCTATTTGTCATGACATCTCCTGATCTCATAATCTTGTATTATTTCTGTAGTGTTGGCCCTGGGAGGTACTTTCTAGGAAAAGGGACCCTTGGAAAATTGAGTTTGATTTTGAGAAAAAAAAAAAAAAAAATGGAGAAGCACTGGAAAAGATAGAGAGACACAGTTAATAGAGTGACAATTGCCTGGGTCGTTGCTGCTGGAAGGATGGTGACAAATGATAATGATATTTGGGAGCGGCTCTTTGAAACATGACAGTCAGATGCAGTGAGAGGGCCTGACAGAAAAAAAGAAAAAAGCCTGTGTGGTGTAAGAGCCAGGGAGCTTTTCTTTCCAGTGGGAAACCCAGCCAACCTCAGAGGGGTAATGTTATGGCAAAGTGGAAGGCAGGGACATGATATGAAGATGACCAGGGAAAGGGAACACGACAACCATAGAATGTGATAGAGAGCTAATGGAATGACAACTAAGGCTAAGCTGACATCAGTTCTCCCTCCAGTTAAACCTGTGCTGGTTGTACTAGCTGCTCTTTTTTTTTTTGGTGATGGAGTTTTGCTCTTGTTGTCCAGGCTGGAGTGAAGTGGCATGATCTCGGCTCACTGCAACCTCCGCCTCCCAGGTTCAAGCGATTCTCCTGCCTCAGCCTTCTGAGTAGCTGGGATTACAGGCGTGCGCCACCATGCCCAGCTAATTTTGTATTTTCAGTAGAGATGGTGTTTCTCCATGTTGGTCAGGCTGGTCTCGAACTCTCGAGCTCAGGTGATCTGCCTGCCTCGGCCTCCCAAAGTGCTGGGATTACAGGTATGAGCCACCACGCCTGGCTGTGTGGTTTGTCATGTAGCTACAGTCAACTGGACTATTCAATGTCCTCCTCAGCTATGTGAGCCAATATGTATTCTTCTTTGCTTAAGTTAGTTTGAACAGAGTTTTTGTCACTTGCAAAATTACCTGGAAGGAATCTTGACTAATAAATTCTCTAGTCTCTAGGTATTATTCACTCTTTGTCAGTCAGTTACTCAGTTTGCCAAAAAAGGAATTTTTCATGTGGTGTTCACGGAAAAAGTGTAGAAACATAGTGAAGAGGAAAGAAGAGAGATTTAGGGCAAGAGCCTAAAACAAGGACCCCCTTTTGTTCTCTTTAACCCATGAACCCATTGAACCCATGGATAATGGATGCCTCATTGCCTTCTTTTTTTTTTTTTTTTTTTTTGAGACGGAGTTTCGCTCTTGTTACCCAGGCTGGAGTGCAATGGCGCGATCTCGGCTCACCGCAACCTCCGCCTCCTGGGTTCAGGCAATTCTCCTGCCTCAGCCCCCTGAGTAGCTGGGATTACAGGCACGCGCCACCATGCCCAGCTAATTTTTTATATTTTTTAGTAGAGACGGGGTTTCACCATGTTGACCAGGATGGTCTCGACCTCTCATGATCCACCTGCCTCGGCCTCCCAAAGTGCTGGGATTACAGGCTTGAGCCACCGTGCCCGGCCGCCTTCTTTTTCTTTTTTAGAGGCAAGGTCTCCCTCTGTAGCTCAGGCTGAAACACAGTGGCACAATCATAGCTCCCTGCAACCTCCACCTCCTGTGCTCAAGTGATCCTCCCACCTCAGCTTTTGAGCTGGGACTATAGGCATGTACTACCACACCCAGCTAACTTTTAAAATGTTGTGGCAAGGTGGGATCTTGCTATGTTGTCCAGACTGGTCTTGAACTCAAGTGATCCTCCCCATGTTGGCCCCACAAAGTGCTGGGATTACAGGTGTGAGCCACTGTGTCCAGCTCAGTGCCTCTTTTAAACTATTTAATTTTTCTTTTTAGGGTTGAGCTCTGGCCGCTGATCTGCCGAGTGACCTTTGACAAATTACTATTCCTTGCTGGGTATGTTTCTTTTTGTGAAGGCTGGAGGTGGAGGGAGCTATTTCTTTATCAGAAAAAATAAGCGAATGGGGCTAGATGTGATATTATTAGAATTACAGATAAAAGCGGCTGGGTGCAGCAGCTCCTGCCTATAATCTCAGCACTTTGGGAGGCGGAGATGTACAAATCATTTGAGGTCCAGAGTTTGAGATCAGCCTGGCCAACACAGTGAAACCCCATCTCTACTAAAAATACAAAAATTAGTCTGGCAGGGTGGTGTGCACCTGTAATCCCAGCAACTTGGGAGGCTGAAGCAGGAGATTGGCTTGAACCTGGGGAGGTGGAGGTTGCAGTGAGCCGAGATTGCACCACCACTGCACTCCAGCGTGGGTGACAAGAGTCTTGGGTGACAGAGTGAGACTGTCTCACACACACACACACGGTGATGTGCTAAGCATTTGGCTAGGCATTTTCCACATATCGTTGATTTGATCCCCACCATGGCCCTATTAGCCACTTTTTCATCTTTTCTGGACTGATGTTCTAGAAACACTTGTTCAGCTCCTTCTCTGTGCTTCTCATTCTCATACATGCACAAGCCATGTATGACCAGTTCCTTGTTTTCAAGAAGCTCATGTTCAGATTGGAAAAGTAAAGTTAAACTAGTGAAACTAGACACGACATTGTTCTGGTCTAAACTGCACTTCAGCCTGGGCGACAGAGTGAGACTCTGTTTCTTTCTTTCTTTTTTTGAGATGGAGTCTCATTCTGTCGCCCAGGCTGGAGTGCAATGGTGAGATCTTGGCTTACTGCAACCTCTGCCTCCTGGGTTCAAGTGATTTTCCTGCCTCAGCCTCCCAAGTACCTAGGATTACAGGAGTGTGCCACCACGCCCGGCTAATTTTTGTATTTTTAGTAGAGATAGGGTTTCACCATCTTGGCCATGCTGGTCTTGAACTCCTGACCTCAGGTGATCTGCCTGTATCGGCCTCCCAAAGTGCTGGGATTACAGGCGTGAGCCCCATGCCCAGTGACTCTGTTTCTGAAAAATAAATAAATAAATAAATAAACAGAGTGGTATTGACTTAAATGCAATAAGAGTTACATTAAATTAGCCATTGGTGTGTCACAGAGTACCACAGACTGAGCAGCTTAAAGCAACAAGTATAAACTATCTCACAGTTTCTACTGGTGTTAGGAGTCTGGGCTGGGCTTAACTGGGTCCCGGGCTGGCGGCATCACAAGACTGCAATCAAGATGCCAGCTGGGCTGCGTTTCTTCATGGAGCCCAGGATCCTCTTCCAAGTTCATGTGGTTGCTGGCAGAATTTTGTGAGGGTGTAGGACTGAGGACCCCATTTTCTTGCTGTCACCCAGGAGCTACACTCTGCACCTAGAGAAGACCCTGCAGTTCCTGGCCATGTGGTCCTCTCCACAGGCAGTTCACAAAGTGGCCACTTGCTTCCTCAAGGCTGGCACGAGTCTCCTGCTCTAGTCTGCTAAGAAGTGTTATATAATGTCATATAATCATGGGAATGGCACATCCTCACCTTTGGCATATTCTATTGCCTAGAAGCAAGTCACAGGTTCTACCCACACTCGAGAGGAGGGGATTACACAAGAGCATGAGTCACTGAGGGGGTCACCTGCAGGGGTATTTGCTGCAGGAATTTAGAAGAGAGATGTCAGAGTGATCTGGAGTCCCCGGGGAGGCTTCATAGAAGGACTTCAGCCAGGTCTTAAAGGATGAGAAGAATTTATTCAGAAAAGGGAAATAGAAGAGGCAGAACATCTAGGACCAAAGAACTCCATGAGCACAAGTATGGAGGAGGGATTCTCACCTAAGTAATTCCTACACAAAAAGGTAACAGAAACCTGACGACTCTGAAGATCACAAGGGGTAGGAGGAACTTTTTCTTATTTACCAGAAAGGAAGCTGGGTAGGGGAAGGAGAATGTCCTGGCTTGATGTCAGAAAATTTCGGTTCAACGTTCAGGTCCGGTATTAACTAGCAGTGTGCCTGGGACCTGCTGGTTATCTGAGCTTCTTGTGACTACTTAGATTGACTTTGTTATTGTGGGAATGAATCAAGCTCTTGGATGTGAAGTGCTGTGTAATGGCCCAGGTCCTGTTTGTGAAAGCAGCACAATGGAATCCCACTCTCTCCGAGTCACCTGGGCCCCTGGCTCCTCTTTCACTGGCTCCTCTCCCTCTTCGAGTCTCCTAAATGGAGTGGTGGTGGGAGGAGATTTTCCCAGTCCTGGCCTTGGCACTCCTCTCATCTCACTGCATAATGTGCTTTGAGGTTCTCACCCACTACCACCCAGGGCTGATGGCTCCCAAATCTAAGTTCTGGCCCAGACTCCTTTCCCCAGGGCTCCGCTCTTGTGTTTAGCCAGTTGCTGGACAATTTCTCTTGGTTCTCCCACAAGCCCCTCAAATCCAACAGGCCCCAGATTAAACTAATCTTCTTGTTTAAATCAAACAAATTTAAACAAATTCAATTAATCTTCCCTGAAGACCTCTTCCTCTTTTTTTTTATGCCTTGTCTTGGGGAATCACACCACCATATCAGGAATCACACCCCATGTCAGGAATCACACCACCACGTCAGGAATCACACCACCACGTCAGGAATCACACCACCACGTCAGGACTCACACCCCATGTCAGGAATCACACCACCACGTCAGGAATCACACCACCACGTCAGGACTCACACCCCATGTCAGGAATCACACCACCACGTCAGGAATCACACCACCACGTCAGGACTCACACCCCATGTCAGGAATCACACCCCCACGTCAGGAATCACACCACCATGTCAGGACTCACACCCCATGTCAGGAATCACACCACCACGTCAGGAATCACACCATGACTTCGGGAATCACACCCCATGTCAGGAATCACACCACCACGTCAGGAATCACACCACCATGTCAGGACT